CAATTACCAGGCACCACGTCGTAGCTTGTGAGAGTTCTACCGTCACTGGCTGTGACTTGAAACGACAAGCTCTGGCCATTAAGGTAAGAGTTGCTCTGCCAATTCTGGCCCCAGTTCCTCGACATGGGTTGCCACCCTGTTTTCGACCCTTTGATCGACACTGCATGAACATCTCCTGCTCCGCCGACGTTGGTGATCAGCACCAGGTTGAAGTAAGAGTGTCCATTAATGGTGAATCTTATCCCTCCTTTCTTCATACAAGGCACCCTGCAAAAAAAAAAAAAAAATCACACACCCAATTCACCCACCAAACCAAAAACAGAGTCTCTGTAAAAGAGAGAATTGTTACTTTACCTTCTAAAAGCGACAGGGACGATCCCAGCTCTGTACTGTGCAATCTGCAAGAAAGCAGGCTCGGCCAAGTCAAAGTGCTGGAGAGGAGGATTGCACCACCCGCCATTGTCGTTAGACAGAGCAAAGTTTGGCGGACAGAAGTTGGTAGCAGTGACAGTGATGGTCCCGGGAAGACACCATCTTGGGTCATCGTTGCATCGCATTTCGTAGCAAGAACCACAGCTCAAGCCATTGTTGAAAAGGGCAGTGCTCAGTGCTGCGGTGTTGGTTCCGTACCCTTGGCTGTATAAATTCCCATACCCACATGCTCCTCCTGCAAGTTTAATTAGTTACATATATATTGAGATGAAGGAATGAAGAAGAAGTGATGAAGTTTGAGAGTGTAAAGATATTTACCCATTGTCCCAGACGCATCACCGCCGCCATAGAAAGTAGCATGAGCATTTTCCCAGCCTCCATAATCTGCTGCTATTTCGTGCACGAAGAAAAAAACGAAGAAGAGAAAAGAGGAGAAGAATTTCTGAGGAGCTGCCATGTTGGTATTTGTTTCGTGGTCAGAGTGAATAAGAGTGAGTGGGTATTTATAAGCAGGAAAAGATTGATTAGGGTTGCAGGAAGCAGAGTCAGAGACAGCCGGCCTGAGCCAAGAAGGGGATTTAGAAAATCAAGAGCGCACATGCAAGTGTTTGCCTTACCAACCGCTGAGCTGAGCTGAGCTGAGCCCCACCCCTGTGGCCGTGGGTCATAGCTCCTCACATGCCTTTCTCAATCTTTCTCTATAATTGTTTTATCTTATTTTTATTATATATGAACATGGTTTAAATTTTGTCTGTTATTTCTATTCTTTCAATTTATACATGTTTTTATTTTATGCGAACGTAGTTCAAAATTTTGTCTGTTATTTCTCTTCTTTCAATTCATACATTTTTATGCAATAATTTATTTTATGAAAGAGAAACGAGAGAGGTACAAATTGTATTTATATCTATCATCACAATCACATGAGGTATGTCATGTTTACATAATTTATTTACTCCTTAAAATATGTCAAGTAATTTGTTTTTTCATTAATAAAAATTCTATTTTACCGGCCACCAATAATGCTAATATATTAAAATATACTTTTTCCTTCATTCTTAATTCTAAAATATTTCTTCTTATTTCTATTGTTGTGTAATACTCGACAATCAATTTGGGATAATCTTTTTTATTTATAAAATTATATATTTATATAATTTTATTTTACCTCACTTTAATTTTAGTGAATTTTTGAGAAAAAATAGATTATGGATAAAATTGAAAATAAATTTTAGAAAAAATGAGTGAAGAATCCAGTGGGTGTTTTTGAGAGAAAAATTGAAAATATGGGGTTAAATCGTAAAAAAAAAAGTTTGGCCAAGCGGGACGACCCAGTCAGCAACTCGAACGAACCAGAGCACACCATGTGGCAGACATACTAGCATTGGCACCACGCGGGAAGCCACGTGAGCGATCCGTGTGCCAGGCAATCCGACAGTCCAGTCCTCATCCTGCGCGCATGAACGGCTCAGATGCATTCTCTTTTTAGACACAATCGGACGGACATGATGGATCGCGATGGACGGTCCGATTCGTCTACGCCATCAACTTAAATGGAAAAATCATCGAACGGTCCTCCTCACTCCACGTTGGCATAAACGGACGGCCCGGATCGAAGAGAATATGAGTATTTAAACTCCTCTTCGCAGAAGAACCTAACCCTAGCTGCCCAGCCCTCGTCGGAGAAGAAGAATCAAACGCTGGAGAAAGAAGCCGACCCTCGGCTGTCGCCACATTGAAGCCACCGCCGACTGCCAAAAAATATAAAATTTTTTCCTCCCTGCTCGGAATTTAATTTCGAGTCTTCCTGTGGCTATATCAGAGCAAAATGGATGGTGGGTAAGCTAAAAACTGCAGGTAAAATCCGATGGAGCTGCCGCAGCCAAAATCCTAAACCTTCTTTGATGACCCCCTTCTCGTTTTTTGTTTCGCATTATTCTTTGACCATCGTATTTATCGTCTCTTTCTGGTATATGTTAGCCGAAAAATAATCCTAACCATGAAGGAGAACCAACAGAGCCGCTGCATTCGGAGACCTCATCGCTGGTAGGTTTCAGTTTTTTGATTTTTTTAGCAAACCGAGGTTTTCTAACGTGTTTTTTCGTAGGGATATATATAAAGCCAACCAAAACTGACCAAAATTGGCCAAACCGAGGCAAATTGCTGCCGTGGGCGGTGGAGTCGACGCCGTGCCGAATCTCTAAAATTGGTCGAAAAAAGTTTTCAACATCGATTTTAAATTTTTTGGGGTATTTTTGGATACATGACGAGTATTTTAATTTTCGCAGAAAAAATTCAGAAAACTTGGGTTCCGTTAGGAAGTGTAGTAGATAGTACGACATTTCAAAATACCGAATCGAGTAACAATCTCTCACCTTATTACTTGTTATGATAATTTGAGGCTTAATAATCAAATATCCTATGTTTTGTGGAAAAAAATAGAAAATTCCTAAAAATAATTACAGATCACTAGTGTAGCTGAAAACTGGTTAATTTACGATGATCTTATATCGTATGTGTTGCCTATTTATTTTCCTATACCGCCTACATTGCTTATTAATCCATCATGTGATTAAAATTATTATTTTAATTGTTTTCTCATTTATTGATTGTTTGATCGTGATTTTTACCTGATTGACTGATTTGAAATAAAAGTCACAATTAAGTTTCTTAATTGTTGATGTATGACATTGTATTGTTTACTTAAATGCTGTTTGATTGATCTGTGAATATAAAATAAGATATTGGTATGCGATTGGTGATTGTTTTGTTGATGGAGATCTATATGTGAAAGGCTTATTGGGTACCTGGGAAAGAGCAGACGAGCTTGGTACATGAAGAATCCCTATTGTAGACATTATCTCAGTCGCACAGGACTAAGAAATCTCATACCGGAAGGGTTTGGGAGATATGGTTCACCCTCATACCGGACGTACTATTGAAGTAATGGTGTGTTTGACGCTCATTACCGGACCGGGTATGGGAACAGTCAGGTTAATTGACAAATCTATATATTGGGTTTACGAATAGGGAAATATCCTTATGGACCCCTAGAAGTACCGGTAAGTAGGGAATGATGTGAGTTTACTATTATTGTTCATGTAAATATGTCATAAAAATGATATTCGAATTTATTGTCTTCATAGATCATTTTGAAAATCTCGTAACGGTAAGTAGAGAATAAACGAGTTTCTTTATATTAAATGAATTTACATAAATTAAGGGCTCCATTAGTTGTTTTATGATTTTTATCAAACTTTGGTTACTCGTATCAGTAATTAGCGTGATATTCTTACTGGAGTAGGTACCTCACCATTCTATTAATCAATTTAGATCAAGAAGACTAAGATCCAGATCCTGATCAGTATGAGAGTTGTGAGTAGATTACCTTTCGGACCCCATCAAGTGCTAGTGGAGGTTAACTCCTATAATATTTATTTATTTATTTTAATCATTTATTTATTTATTTTTTTAATGAACCGCTGTAGAAGGAACATTCTCGTAACTCTATTGGGTGTTCTAATTTATTGTGTAAGAAATGTAAATTCTAACATTATTGTTTGCTTATGCATTTAAATTATAAACCTATGTCCTTTTAAATTTCAAACCTTTACATGTGGTCATCCACAATGTTATTACATGCTTACTATAATGAGAGAACATAAATAATAATAATAGCGATAAAATCACAATATACTCTCTCAAGCATAATCCTATTCAATAATACCCTCATTCAGTTAACTTAATTCAATGATATTATAAAGATATACCTTACAATCTTTTGGGAGGAATATGAAGCAATACCAATAGTCTTCGTAAAAAAAAAAATTAAATTATGAATTTTTTACATCATAATCTAAAATAGATGAAAATATGTATACAAATTGTTAAACAATGACGTATGAACCTAAACAAAATTTTGAGTAACTTCAATATTTTAGATAAATTGAGAGTGGTAATGAGAACAACAGTTGATATAGAATAAAGCAACCATTAAAGACACCAAGTAATCAAACCTTTAACATAGTAACTAGAAACGTCAAATGATTCATGCTCGAGTATTTTGTTAAATCAGAATGACCATACAATTCAAATAAAAATATGTAAAAATGGGGACAAAGAATTGTCGCATTAATGTAGCAGGCCTTCTGGATAAGCTAGAGGCACGAGTTATAGTTATAGATGACCTCTACTACGTAAGTTATGCTCGATAATTATCTTTGTATGGTAAATTTTTAAATGGAGTCATATGAACTAAATTTTTCCTTCCGCAATTGATGTTGAGACTAGGGACCTCATTGACCATTTGAGGTATTAAATAGCTACCGTGCAATTTCATGAAGATTTAGATGTCATGATGTGTCTCAGATTCTATTTAATTCTTAGAAAATAAGCTCGTGAATGATTGATTATAAACCCTTGATCAAGAAAAGTACTAAAAAATTCAAAGAGCTAGTCGATCAATTTCTAGCACATTTCATTAGCAAAGAAAAACTAGAGAAGTTATGCATAAGCATTTTTGGTATTAAGTAGAAGAATGAGTTCTTAGAGAGCTACAGAGGTACACTAAAACTCAATACCTAAATTGAATACAAGGAATCTAATGCTGAAATTATGAATCTGACCAAGATAGACTATTGTGAAAAGTTTATAGTTGTCAGTTGCCTTGATAAGAGGAGAAGAATGAAAGGATACTCTTCAAATTAATACTAAACAAGAAATCAAAAGCTTAAAAAGGGAAAGTGATAATAAGCTCCTTTGATGTAGATCTAGAAAAGGAAAAGAGTCTTCCATGACAATGTAATGTTGAGGTGCTAATTACAAGGTAAGAATAATACCTTGTTTGGTAATGTAACTTAAGGGGTCTTATGTCTAATGATCTGTTACTTTAATATCAAAGATTTTTCAGAATAAAATTAGCGAAAAAAATTCATCCACATATTCATAGAAGCTAATATACTCATAGATTATCTGATAAATTAGGACATCAAAAAATAGTTTTTACCTAGTAGTACTATTGTATTCATACTATAACAATCTGTTTCATTCAAATTGAAAAAAAATTAAGCAGAAATAAAATTTTCAATGGGGATGACATTTTGCATTAACACCTACTTGATTTGATTTCCTAACTATGATTTAATATAGTTTTTTTTATTAAAATCTGACCCACCATACATATACATTTAAATTTTTTTTTAATTATTATAAATATATTTATATATATATATTTACATAAATAAATAAAATACATTATATTAATATATTTATAATTCATAAACATAATTAGTATACATTATATAGTAATAAATAAATTCTTAATTTTTAACATAAATATATATATATATTTACATAAATAAATAAAATACATTATATTAATAAATTTATAATTCATAAACATAATTAGTATACATTATATAGTAATAAATAAATTCTTAATTTTTAACATAAATATATATATATATATAAATACTTTTTAAAAATTCTCATTATATTAATTATTTGAGTTTGGTAAAACCCATTGGCCGGTTGATAACTTTTAATTTTCAGTTTGATTATGAATAAACATAAATATATATATATATATATATAAATACTTTTTAAAAATTCTCATTATATTAATTATTTGAGTTTGGTAAAACCCATTGGCCGGTTGATAACTTTAATTTTCAGTTTGATTATGAATAGATGGAAGATTGTGTACGTAGAGGAATTTCCTCATTTGATTGAAAGAAAATTAGAATGCTTAATCCGAAATTAAATAATAATAATAATAATAATAATAATTAATTAGGCAAGGAGTGTGAAATTAACCAATCCATCATAATATCCAAAGACATAAATAACAATCACTACTTTGATTTTTTTACTCACTCACTCACGTTATTAAACCGACCTAATTAAATCAAATTAATTCAAAAGTATGACATTAATTAATTATTTAATATCAATTGCTCTACTCTCTCCCTAAAATTACATCAATCTTTCCTCGAAGACCATACAAAAGTATCTTGAAAATTAAGTATTAGACAAATTAATGTTCATTATTCCGTAATTCAAAAGTTTTGTTAATTAAATAGAAAATTGATAATCATGAACTTAATTAATTATGTCGCCACCCACATCCCAATTCAATTCTTAGGCATGGTATGGAGTTAGAGGAGGGCATGTTGTTATGTTTGCTTCGTAATCACAAAAAAAGTCACAAGTGGTGTCCCACGACGTTAATCATATTATTAAGTTTAAGATTAGAAGATTCCTTTATTAAATATTTCGGATTTATTGACCCAAAATTGAATACTAATATAATTTGACATATATATATATATATATGTATTATACACACACACTATTGTCAAATAGTATGATTCGTGATTCAAATGGTCCTGTTTGACTTCAAATCATTTAAATTATATAAACAAATTATAGTAAGTTAGATTCACATTTTAGAGCATATTGTATCCGGTTCAATTGGACCTAGAAATAAAAACAAAATAATAAATATAAGAGTTCGTGGATGACGTACGTGTGTCTCGGATGACATGAAGAGTTGGCGTCGACGTATTTATAAACGTTATAATTATTATTAAATATTGATGTGAATACGTATCCGATTATTTTTAATTTTCATTTTCA